GAGGTCAATTTGCATAGAAGACAAAAATCTGTCACTGTCACTGATCTCCCATTGTTCATCGACTTGCTTGCTCGAGTGGGCCCGTGCAGGAGAGATACGCTCGGTAGCTTGCCAGGCTCTCGGAAAGGGGCGGAGGAATCGAACCCGGGTCAGCCATGTTGGCCGCTTGCAAGGCAAACGCCCTACCCGCTATGCTATCGCTCCAGCCCCTTTCCCAGTTTGAACATAGAAAGTTCCATTCATCCCAGGAAATCCGAAACTAGAGGTCAATTTGCATAGAAGACAAAAATCAAATGCTTGAAAAGATTAACCTAAGATTTTTGTTTTGTTTTGTTTTATAGGTCACCCACCCAACAGTGCTCAGGGGTTACTCCTGCCAGTGACGGGAATCAAATCTGGGTCAGTGGCATGAAAGGTGAGCACCAAACCCACTGTACTATCTCTCTGGCCCCTAGCCTAAGACTTTGTATCTTCTCTCTCTTCTTGTCTTTCTTCTTAACCCCTTTCTTCCCTTTCCCTCCCCTTCCCTTCCCATTTTTTAGTGTTCCCTCCTTCCTTCCCTTCCTATCTCTCTCCTTCTCCTTCCTATCTTCTCCTCCTCCTCCTCCTCCCCTCCTCCTCCTCTTCTTCTTCTTTTTCTTCTTCTTCTTCTTCTTCTTCTTTTCTTCTTCTTCCTCTTCCTCTTCCTCTTCCTTCTTTCTTCTTCCTTCTTCTTCCTTCTTCTTCCTTCTTCTTCTTCTTCTTCTTCTTCTTCTTCTTCTTCTTCTTCTTCTTCTTCTTCTTCTTCTTCTTCCTCTTCCTCCTCCTCCTCTACTACCTCCTCCCCCTCTCCTCCACTACCTCTTCCTCCTCTTCTTCTTCCTCCTCCTTTTCTTCCTCCTCCTCCTCTTCTTCTTCTTCCTCTTCTTCCTCCTCCTCCTTCTCCTCCTCCTCCTTCTCCTCTACTACCTCCTCCTTCTCTCCTCCTTCACTACCTCCTCCTCTTCTTCTTCTTCTTTTTCTTTTTCTTCTTCTTCTTCTTGTTCTTCTTCCTCTTCCTCTTTCTCCTCATCTTCTCCTTCTTTTTCTTCTTCCTCTTCCTCCTCCTCCTCTACTACCTCCTCCCCCTCTCCTCCACTACTTCCTCCTCCTCTTCTTCCTCCTCTTCCTCCTCCTCTTTCCTCCTCCCCCTCTTCTTCTTCTTCCTCTTCTTCCTCCTCCTCCTTCTCCTCCTCCTCCTCCTCCTCCTCCTCCTCTTCTTCTTCTTCTTCTTCTTCTTCTTCTTCTTCTTCTTCTTCTTCTTCTTCTTTTTCTTCTTCTTCTTCTTCTTCTTCTTCTTCTTCTTCTTCTTCTTCTTCTTCTTCTTCTTCTTCTTCCTCCTCCTCCTCCTCCTCCTCCTCTTCTACTACCTCCTCCTCCTCTCCTCCTTCACTACCTTCTCCTCCTTCTCCTCCTCCACCCCCTCCTCCTCCACGTCCTCCTTCCTTCTTCTGTGCAGCTGGAACATTGAACCTTCCACATGTGAGACATTTGCTTTACCACTGAACCACCTCTGAGGCCCCCTAACCTAAGATTCTATATGAAAAACCTAGACATCAGCTCAAAGAGTTCAGTACTTCAAAAGTCTCAGCGTGCAGATCCCACACAAGGAGGCTCACATCTCATTCAACTGCGGACCACGCCTACGGAGAGCAGCCTTCTTCACAGGAGGAAACTTGGAGGTTAATGGTTAACCTCCAAGGTTAATTTGGCCTTGAGACAAGATGAAGTCATGCAATTTGCTGCTACATGGATGGACCGGGAGAGTATCATGCTGAGTGAAATGAGTCAGAGGGGGGTGGCAGACACAGCGATCTCACTCATGTGAGACATAAAGAAACAGCAGAGGAATCACTAACGTCCAAGGCAACAGAAACAAAGAGCAGGGGGTTGGGAGGGTTACTGGGAGCACTGGAGGTGGACAATGGGCACTGGTGGAGGGATGGGTACTCAACCATTGTATAGCTGAAACCCAAGCACCAAAAATTGTAAGTCTACAACTGTACCTCATGGTGTTTCACTAATAAAAATAATTTTTAAAAATTAAAATAAAAAAAAAGAGCAGGGAACCTGGTCCTCAGCTCACCACGGGGGCTGGGGGACAGGTCAGGAAAGGGACTGTGATGACAGTGATAGAGGGAAGAGGTCACTCTGGAGGACGAGGTGCTGAAAGGGGGTAAAGTGACACCCACGATACCCGACAGTAACGACAGTGACAGTAAGGAGTCTCCACTGTGGTTTGTAAACTGCAATGCCCAAAAGGAGAAAAGAAGAAAAGAAAAATGTACCTCCATCCCGGGTTGGAGAAAATCGAACCCAGGATCTATCCCAGGCATCCCACGTGGCTCCCCTGGGCCCTGAGCATTGCCAGGTGTGGCCTCAAAACCAAAAAAATTAATAAAAATTAAAATTAAAGGGGCTGGAGCAATAGCACAGTGGGTAGGGCATTTGCCTTGCACGCGGCTGATCCGGGTTCGAGTCCCAGCATCCCATACGGTCCCCCAAGCACCGCCAGGAGTGATTCCTGAGTGCAGAGCCAGGAGTAACCCCTGAGCATCGGCTGGGTGTGACCCAAAAGGAAAAAAAAAAAGAATAAAATTAAATTAAAGTCCCTGCCATAGAGGCTGGCGGAGATTGGAGGGAAACCGGCCGGGGACATGAGTGGAGGGAGTGGTCGCTGGTGCAGGGAGGGTGTTGGAACATTGTATGCCTGAAACTCAAACAGGGGTAGCTTTGTAACTTTGTAATTCACCGCGATTCAATTACAAAATAACTTGGAGGTTATTTATGGACACACAAGAATTTTCGTAAGCTTGGAATAAGTCAGAAGGCAGACCACAGTATTTTCATTATTATTAGGAGAAATATCCAAGCATTTTCTAGACTAGAAATATGTCCTCGTTGTTGGTGGGAAATATACCCGGGTCGGGTGTTGGAACATTGTGTGACAGAAATCCTATCATGAACAACTTTGTAACTGTGTATCTCATGGTGAGTCAATACAAATGTTTGTTTTAATTTTCAAAAAGAGAAATGTCCTCAGTCGTCTCATTGTTTACCTTTTATTAAAAGTCCTAGGTATTGAAGTTTCTTGTTATCTAACAGTTTTTTGTTCAGGGGAAGAAAAATCTTTTTTTTGCTTTTTGGGTCACACCCGGCAATGCACAGGGTTTACTCCTGGCTCATGCACTGAGGAATTACTTCTGGCGGTGCTCGGGTGACCATATGGGATACTGGGAATAGAACCCGGGTCTGCTGCATGCAAGGCAAACGCCCTACCCGCTGTGCTATCACTCCAGCCCAAAAAATCATTTTTGTAGAGCAGACAACCTCAAGGACTTACGGCCTGTTGGCTGTTGGCCTCTTGCTTATTGGGGCCACGGCCAAGAGTGCTCGGGCTAACCCCAGACTTTGCACCCAGGGATCACTCCTGGTGGTGCTCCTAAGACCGTATGTGGGCCAGGGGTTTAGACCTGGGTTCCCTGCATGCAAGGCAAGTGTCTAACCCTCTGTACTCTCTCCCTGACTTTGGCTTATTTTGGTCTTTTTTTGTAAATGAACTCGGCAATCTTACTCTGACGCTGTTCTGCTGGCTTTGCAAATGCTCTTTGAAACAGTCATAATATCTTACTGGCCCCCTCATTAATTAAGAATATGAACTAATTAGGGACCTGAGGTGTAACCAGGCAGTAGAGCGCTTGCCTTGAATGTGTTCATCCAAGTACAGGAGGAAGAAGAAGGAGGAAGAGGAGGAAGAGGAAGAGAAGGAGGAGGAGAGCTAAAATTCTAGCTAATAAATTAGATCAGACTTTTGATAGGTGTTGGTTTTACTCAAAAGATTTCCCCGCCCCCCCGGCCTTTGTTTACCCTTTTGAAAAATCATATTTTCTCACGGAGACATAGAAAACAGGTAAGGTGCTTGCCTTGCAAGCAGCTGACCCCGACTCAATCCCTGGCACCACATATGGTCCCCTGAGCTGAGCCCTCCAGGAGTGATTCCTGAGTGCAGAGCCAGGAGGAACCCAAGCACACAGCCAGCACTGCCCCCCTCAGAAAGAAAGAAAGAAGGAAAGAAAGAAAGAAAGAAAGAAAGAAAGAAAGAGAAAGAAAACTGAATAAAAATCCTACTTTTTCATTACCTTGAGGTCCTGAGGAGCGAGAACGCAGGATGGCTGTTGTCTTTTTCTTTCTCTTTTTAATTTTTTTTTACAAAAAGCAGTGATTTACAAAGTTCCTGACGGTTACACTGTAGCTTTGTAGCACGGCCCTCCAGTTGTTCATGGATTTGCTTGAGTGGGCACCAGTAACGTCTCCATTGTGAGACTTGTTGTTACTGTCTTTGGCATATCGAATATGCCACGGGGAGCTTGCCAGGCTCTGCCTGCAGGCGGGGTACTGTTGGTAGCTTGTCAGGCTCTCCAAGAGGGGCGGAGGAATTGAACCTGGGTCGGCAGTGTGCAAGGCAAACGCCCTACCTGCTGTGCTATTGCTCCAGCCCGGCTGCATTGTAGGCAGACAATAACTAAACAGCAGTAGGAGGACCCTGTTTTCTGGGGAAGGTCACAGTGTGGAGCCTGGGCAGATGAGGGGACGCCCCAGCACCCAGCACGGCCCCTTTGCGGAGCACAAGGAGAAGCCAGAGAGAGACAGTCCCTGGCTCACACCAGTCCCCTTCTGAAAGGCCCCGCACGACCGCCCAGTCTCACTGGAGCCTCACAGGGCACCCACGCGCTTCCCTGCTGAGCTTCCCTGTCCAAAGGCCGCGATACCCCTCTACTACTTCTTGGTGCCCTGATCTTCCCCTTGTTGAAAGGCAGATGTCTCCAGCAGCAGGTGACACACAAGGTTCGCGCAAGTGTGGACAAAGCCTTCTTCAAGACGCAAGTTTGCTTTGACACAAGGGCCAGGAGCGGGCCAGCCTGTCTGCCAGCTGGGCCCCTTCAGGGAAGGACGCAGAGGTGGCCACAGGGCCTTGGACTCACCGCCAGGTCATCACGGGTGACGAAGCCTCTGTCCTGGGCGCCACAGTCCCGGAGGAAGCGCTGCACCTCCACAGAGGCCTGGGACGGCCAGGACCCTGGCGCGGCGTCCCCTGATGCGTCCTGGCCATCTGCCGGCTCTCGTGTCTGCCTCCGGCGGCTGGAACCCAGCTTGCGACCTTTCCGAGGTCTCCTCTGTCCACTCTCCATGGCGCTTTAGCCTGGGGACGGAGGAGAGGCGACACTGATGGACACTGAACATTGTCCCTGCCTCTTCCAATCACCCCCAAGAAAGTCCACCACAGCCGATGCTGCCCTCAGTCCCTCAGCTGTCACGAGTCCTTTCCTGAGAGAGCCCCAGGGCCCCGGGGCCACGTTGTGGGTGCTGGGAACTGAGCTTCGAGCCCTGCGCGTCCCTGGCCTCAGTGTCCTTCCTCTGCTCTGGCACCCACTGAAAGCCCTCAAGCACAGAAGCCCTCAGCCCGTTTCCTCCCACTGTGGGGTCCCCATTCCATGGATTCCCGCCTTCCAGGGGGCGCCTCCAGGGTCTCCCCTCAGCCCCCTTCCCTCAGGGCTGTGTCTCTGTTTCTTAGCACTTGCCCTAATGGGTCAAAGATACTTCCTGTGACCCTGACAACCCTGCATGAGGTGGTCTCCTTCACCCCATGGCAGGGCCTCCTCATGCAGAGTATGACCTGTGTGCCCACCCGGAGTCCCCACCCTGCAGACACCGTGGGACTGACTCCCCACTCTCCAGGGAGCCTCTGAGCCTCCTGCAGATGGACACACAGAAATAAATCATAGGTGCAGCCGGAAGAGGCACGTTCCATGCCTGGGTGACAAGTTCTGGAAGAGCACTCAAAAAGGAGCACTCTCCAGGGTTTATCAGGGAGGGCTTCTAGGGAGAGGTTACAAATCAGCACTCAGTTCCAAGGTAGGAGAGGTCCTACTTAACTCCAATCCCCTCTTAGTGTCCAGGCTTGCTCTGGACACGTGAGGTCTCTGCTTCTTCTGCAGACGGTCCTTCTCCCCTAAAATTGTGGGGTATCCTACTGGACAACTGACCAGACTCATAACGAGGCTGATATTGCAGAAATTACACGTATGGTAGGGAGATGACTGAAGACTAAAGAAAAACGACACTTCCCCCAGCTATAATTCACTCAGGAGATCCGAACACGGAGCGTGAATGACATGACGCTGAACACGTGAGACTTGTGGGTGTGAGGGAAGAGTACGCCTGGCTCCAAGCCCAAACGCGAACAGACAGTGTTGTGATATGGGGGTGATGTGGAACGGGGGTTCCCACACACACCTAGAAGTCCTTCACCCCTCAGCCCCTGTCCCCATCTCACCCCACAGCGCACAGGAAGAGCGACAGAAACACCCCTCTCGGGGCCACACCTGTCCTTCCCTAGGAGGGAGGCCCCTTCCTGCCCCACGGAGCCAGCCCCGGCAGCGGAAACCTCCAGAGTTCAATCCCTGCCAGGCTCACGGCCGTACTCCACAAGCTCTGATGAGCCTCGCCCAGGAGTGGACCTATTCCTGGACCTCTCATGCTCTACACCACCGTGCCCCTCATAGGTGGGGTTTAAAGTAGAAGGCAAGGAAATATATTTCTGCAAATACAGATATAAGCACCAAGGCTCAATCTTTAGCATCATGTTACTAATCTCTTACAGAAGGGCTTACTGGCCCTGGGTGAAATGCAATAGTCTTCACACACTCCCCTCTAAGAAACATTTTTTTATCTCATTTTCAGCAGGTTATTCATAACAAGCAATGCAAAATAAATTATTTCGGTTTTGCTTTGGGGGTAGGGTTTGGGGTTCGGGAAGGAAGCATCTGAAATACGGTGGTGGGAAGGAATAATGATGGTGGGACTGGTGTTCGAATAGTAATTGTAATCAAATATTGTGAACAACTTTATAAAATTAAATGAAATTAAATTAAATTTAGGGCTGGAGCGATAGCACAGCGGTAGGGCGTTTGCCTTGCACGCAGCCAACATGGCCGACCCGAGTTCGATTCCTCCGCCCCTCTCGGAGAGCCCGGCAAGCTACCGAGAGTATTCGATATGCCAGACACAGTAACAACAAAGTCTCCAATGGAGACGTTACTGGGCCCGCTCGAGCAAATCAATGAACAACGGGAGGACCGTGAAATTAAATTTGGGGCTGGAGCAATAGCACAGCAGGTAGGGCATTTGCTTTGCACGCAGCCGACCCGGGTTCAATTCCCAGCATCCCATATGGTCCCCTGAGCACTGCCAGGGGTAATTCCTGAGTGCAGAGCCAGGAGTAACCCCTGTGCATGGCCGGGTGTGACCCAAAAAAGCAAAAAAAAAAAGAAATAAATTTAAGAAGAGAGGGGCCCCCAATCTCCATGACCCTATAACCCAATGGGCCTAGTGGTTATGGCTCGGAGCACTGAGGTCAATGAAGAACCACGAGAGGCCAGAGCACCAGTACAGGGGTAAGTCACTTGCCATGCGTGTGGCCTACTTGGGTTTGATCACTAGCACCACACATGGTTCCTGTATGGTCCCCTGAGCACCTCTAGGAGTAATTTCTGAGCCAGGAGGAACCCCTGTGCATTGCCAGGTGTGACCTCAAAAAAAAAAATACGGCAAGAGTGATTCCTGAGATCAGAGCCAGGAGTAAATCCTGAATATCACTGAGTAAAGAGAAAGAGAAAGAAAGAAGGAGAAGGAGAGAGAGAGAGAGAGAGAGAGAGAGAGAGAGAGAGAGAGAGAGAGGCTGGAGCCAATTCAGATTTGACTCCCAGCATCCCAAATGGTCCCCTGGGCACCTCCAGGAGTAATTACTGAGTGCATGAGTCAGGAGGAATTTCTGTGCATCACCGGGTGTGACCCCCCCCAAAAGAGAGAGGTAGAGAAAGAGGAAGGGGAGAGAGGGAGAGAGAGAGAGGGAGAGAGAAAGAAAGGGAGGGAGAGAGAGGGAGAGAGAGAGAGGGAGAGAGAAAGAAAGGGAGGGAGAGAGAGGGAGAGAGAAAAAGAGAGAGGGAGAGAGAGAGGAAGAGAGGGAGAGAGAAAGAGAGGGAGGGGGGGGAGCAGAGAGAGAACAGAGAAAAAAGTGAGAGGAGAGGGAAAAAGGGTGAAAGAGAGAGAGGGAGAGAAGGAGGGAGGGAGAGGGAGGGAGAGAGGGACAGAGAGAGCATCGGTAGTAGAAGGTCTGACCTGAGATGTGGAAAGGCCCAAGCAGGTGGCTTGCAGACAGTGGCACCTCTGGCAGACCCTGCCTGCCACCCACTGAGTGACTCAGACACGGCCCCCTCCCTCTCTGCGGGATTTCCTCCTTTGCTTTCCTTCTGCCTGAGCCCTTCAGTCCCTGACACTGTAGCTCCCGCCCCCCAGGAGTGAAAGGCGCCTGTGGTCAGGAGTTGGCGAGCAGTGGGGCAGCTGGCACTCAGAACAGCCGTGGACCCTCAGCCTGCCGCCTCCAGTGCCCAAGGCGGGGGGTGTCGAGGGCGCTCCCACTAGCCCCCAGACAGCACATGTCAAGTCAGTGGTGAAGGACCTGAAGGGACAGCAGGGCAGAAGCCTCCATGAGCACAATGCCACCACAAAATAGGCGCCAGGGTGGCGTGAACACCCCCGGGAGCACTTCCTGGGCAGGGAGAACCTTAGTGGGCAGAGAGCACCTTTGGGGTCACAGATGCCCAGTGGGGCTGCCGGGGTGGGGCCGGCTCTTTGGGGGGTTGTGAAACCTGGAAACTCAAGTTTCAAGGGCACGTCCGGCAGAGGAGATAACACACACACACACACACACACACACACACACACACACACACACGAGACAGCAAGATAAGGGTCTCAGAGCGGAAGCTTCTAGAACCCGAGTGCTGGAGGAGGAGTCTGCGGGGATGTGGGTGCTGTGTGGCTGCAGCAGGCGGCAGTCCTGACACCAAGAGCCTGTGGCCACACCCCAAGACACGCACCTCCCGCCAGCCCTTCCGGGAGCTCCCAGCTGAGGCCCAGCCACTCCTCTCTCTGTCCCCAACATTTAAAGAAAGCTGCACACTTCAGACACCTGACGCCCACCCCAGCGTCCACCCTCTGGGCCATCAGTGCTGGCCAAGAGGTCCGGGCAGAAAGGCGGGTGCTCTGTGCCGTCTGTCATCAGGGGCCATGCGCACCCTCCTCGGGTCTACAGAGCACCCTAAACATACTCAGTACCGCTTCACGGTCAGGCAACAATGTGCAGACACAGGGGAGATTCTTCAGCCAGTCCTCAGGTGCACACATGGTGCACCCTCCCTCCTCAGCTCTCTCTCTCTCTCTCTCTCTCTCTCTCGCTCTCTCTCTCTCTCTTGCTCGCTCGCTCTCGTTCTCTCACAAGCACATTCTCTCTCACACACACATTCTCTCTTTTTCTCTCTCCCCTCAGCCCCTCAGCTTAGACACACAGTTTCCACAGCTCACACACCTCACACTCTCCATAGCACACGTGCACGCATACTCACACACACACACGCACAGCTTCCTCAGCTCACAAACACACACACACACACACACACACACACACACATACACACATACTCGACATGCTCTGTCCTTAGCGCGCTCTCTCTCACACACACATACACATTCTCTCTTTCTCACCTCAGCTCAGACAGTCTCCACAGCTCACACTCTCCATAGCACAGATGCACACATGCACACACACACACACACACAAAGCCTCCTTAGCTGACAAACACACACACACACACACACATACTCTGTCCTTCGCACACTCTCTTTCTCTTTCTCCCTCTCCCTCTCCCTCTCCACACACACACAATCCTTCCTCAGCCATCACCCCATCACCCACTCCTCAGCCTTCACACTCCTGCACAGTACCGTGGTTCCTTTCCAGTCTCTATAGCTCTATAGGGTACCTCTCTCTCTCTCTCTCTCTCTCTCTCTCTCTCTCTCTCTCTCTCTCTCTCTCTCTCTCTCTCCCTCTCTGTCATCCAGAGCTCATGTAGGACCCTTTGGCATGTGAAGCCTGCCTTCTCCTACCAAAGCCCACTCAGTGTGTTGTGGTCACAGCCTGAACCTCACAGCCTGAACAGCAGAAGGCCCCTGTGAGCAGGAGCACACGAACGCCCACCTCAGCACGACCACCTTCCCTCCCCACAGTCTTTGCCCCGGAAATCAAAGTGCGACGCCAGACAAGAACAAACGTATCTCACTCCCAGGCCTC